CAGAATGAATTTTTATATGTACAGAAAGGTGTGCATACTGGTTAAAGGCTTTTCCACATTCTTCACATTTGTAGGGTTTCTCCCCAGAATGAATTCTTTTATGTATAGAAAGTGTTGAGTACTGAGTAAAGGCTTTTCCACATTCTTCACATTTATAGGGTTTCTCTCCAGAATGAAGTTTTTGATGTCTAGAAAGCTGTGAGTACTGGGTAAAGGCTTTGCCACATTTTTGACATTTGTAGGGTTTCTCTCCAGAATGAATTCTTTGATGTACCAAAAGGTTTGAGTAATAGTTAAAGGCTTTGCCACATTCTTCACATTTGTAGGGATTCTCTACATTATAAATTGTCTTATAGTTAGAACATTTTTTGCTGCGGCTAAGGCGGTTGTCATCATTCTCAGAATGGGAGATTTTCTCTGCAGTATGAAGTCCCCTGTGATTAGACAGTCTTGAGGGAGATTTAAAGATTTTGCCACATTCTTTACATTTGTACTGCTTTTCCACAAAATGGGTTATCTTGTGTTTATCCAAGTTTGAGCATAGATTTAAGGCTTTCCCATATTTTTTATACTCAAAAGGCATCTCCCTGGTATACATCATCTTATGTCTATTTACATTCGATAATTTTCTGATAACTTCGAATCGTTTACTGCATTGGTAGATTTTACCACGCATAGCTGTTAAACTTTCGTCTATTCCCTTGTAACATACTTTCTGCTGCTTATACTCATACACCCTATCCCAGTCTTTTATTGAGTTTAAATTCTCAGGGCTATGATTTTCATATCTTCTCAGGATTATCTTTGGTAATGAAATATTCACGCCCAGCACTTGTGAATTGCTCTGGGTAGAATGATTCGATATGACTGAAAGAAATTTAAAAATACAAAATTATGCCATTGAGTTTCATAACAATTGAATAAATATGCATTATAAATTTTGTCTTTAAAATTATGACAAGCACAGTAGCAAGTTGGCATAGTATAGCACATATGCCCTAATAATTTTTGAGATACATATAAGTAAGAAATATATACTGCATTTTAGTGATTATAAAAGCAAGTGAGAACTTTCAGTCCACCAGCAGAGCACAATGTGAAGAGGCATATACATGCTGGGTGCAGTGGTTCACGTTTGTAAACCTAGCACTCTGGGAGAGTGAGTGAGTGGAATGCTTCAGCACAGGCATTTGAGAGCAGCCTGAGCCAGAGTGTAACCCTGTTTATACCAAAAATAGAAAAAGTTAGTGGGGCGTGTGGCAGACACCTGCAGTCCCAGCAACTCAGGAGGCTGAGGCAAGAGTATCTCTTGAGCCCAGCAGGTTGAGGTTGCTGTTAACTATAATACCACAGCACTCTTTCCATGGTGAAAGACACTCGGTCTCAAAAATATAGAACTATATAAAATGAAGTAAGAAAAAAATGATAATTACAAAAGGTGTAAAATATGGGAAGAAAAGTTTATTCTACTTATAGACCACAGATATCCCCCATCTGAAAACAGCATTGTTCATATGAAAGTAAACTTTTTCCTCAAAAGAAAAATAGAGACCTGCATTAACTCTACTGGCTTTTCAGGGCTTATTATTTTATTTTTATTGAGACAGAGCCTCAAGCTGTCACTCTGGGTAGAGGGCTGTGGCATCACAGTTCATAGCAACCTCCAACTCCTGGGCTCAAGGGATTCTCCTGCCTCTGCCTCCCAAGTAGCTGGGACTACAGGCACCCGTCACAAGGCCCGGCTATTTTTTGTTGCCACCATCATTATTGTTTGGCGGGCCCTGATTGGATTGGAACCTGCCAGCTCAGGTGTATATGGAGGGCGCCTAGCCGTTTGAGCCACAGGTGCCAAGGCTTTCAGGGCTTTTCTAAAGATAGGTTATATCTCCCATGAGGGAGAATGCTGAAGGGAAAGATAGTATAGTTGATAAAAATGAGTGGGGGAACTGAACTTAAAGTAAAATATTGTGGCTCTGTGCCAGTGGCTCAAGTAGCTAAGGCGCCAGCCACATACACCTGAGCTGGAGGGTTCAAATCCAGCTCGGGCCGGCCAAACAACAATGACAGCTGCAACTAAAAAATCACCAGGCGTTGTTGCAGGTGCCTGTGGTTCCAGATATTTGGGAGGCAGAGGCAGGAGAATCGGTTGAGCCCAGGAGTTGGCAGTTGTTGTGAGATGTCATGCCATGACACTACCCAGGTTGACTTGGGCTTGAGGCTCTGTCTCAAAAAAAAAAAAAAAAGGTAAAATATTGTTACAGCACCAGAGAGACTCTAAGACAATGGACAGATTCAGGTCCAGCAAGTGATTACAAGCTCTTAGGAGGAAACTATAAAATATCCGCACATCTCCAGAGGCAATACACTTTCAGAATGCATATTGAACCGCCTCAAATCTTTAGTATAGTTTGTGTCAGACTCCTGTAAGATAAAGCCACATCATGGATTTTGTGAAAGGTACCTATGTGGCTGGGTGCCCGTAGCAGTGGTTTCGGCACCAGTCAGGGACACTGAGGCTGGGACACTGAGGCTGGACACCAAGACAGGGCCAGCTTAACAACAATGACAACTGTAACAAAAAATAGCCGGGCACTGTGGTGGGTGCCTATAGTCCCAGCTACCTGAGAGCCTGAGGCGAGAGAATCCATTAAGCCCAAGCGTCTCTGAGGTTGCTATGAACTGTAACACTATAGCACTCTACTGAGAGTGACATAGTCAGAGTCTGTCTCAAAAGCAAAACAAAACAAAAGAAAGGTACATTTTGTGATACTCAAAATTCAATGAAAGATTCCAACAAGTAAAACATAATAAGGTGGCATAACCCAAAGAAACAAAATAAACAATGTAGAATCAACCATAAAAAATAAAAAATAGGCTCGGCGCCTATAGCTCAACCGGCTAAGGTGCCAGCCACGTACACCTAAGGTAGCGGGTTCGAATTCCCAGCCCGGATCTGCCAAAACAACAATGACGGCTGCAACCAAAAAATAGCCGGGCGTTGTGGCGGGCGCCTGTGGTCCCAGCTACTTGGGAGGCGGAGGCAAGAG